AAGGCTCCTCTTAGGTCAAGAAACACGACAACCGACGGTGTATGGCGTAGCCGGAGGAATTGACGCAGCGTAAAGACAGCAGCCAAGACCGGCGCGAGAAAGGGCATAGTTATTGATTGTACAAAGTGAAACCTAAGGTTTGTGTTCTGTTTTCTATCGCGCAGACCACGAGAGCTGGTCAGCACGAAAAGGCACAGACACCTTTGTCCGAAGTGTACAGACTAAATGCGCACATATTTTCGACGTTGTTACGTTCAGTGTGACCTTTTCTGTACGCTGAGCTTGTCACCATCAGATTGATCGCAGGTTGTTTAAAAAGATCTTTAAACGTAGGATGCACTACACGTCACTTGGGTGCACCGTGCGCGCAATGCGTATGTGGGTTATGAGCACAGTACCACATGTGAGGGCAACGCGCAACCAATCATCCAATCACTTAGTCGATTGCGTTGGGTGAGTGAATGAGGCACGAGTTACGCCCAAGGATGACAGTGCGCACCAAGCCAGCAAACGCGAAGCGCACGTGGTCGACAAGTGGCTTGCGAAAGTGATGTATGGTGCAGCGCACATTCATTGCTTTTCATAAACTAGCATGATATTTCATTCATTGTTCGAATCAGAATGTTAGGAATATAAAACAACGCAAACGATAGCACTAAGTGAAAAGTAGTCTATTTGGAAATTGAGATTCAGCAAACTAATTAAATGATGATTATGGGTTCCAAATACTTTCGACGGACCAAGGTGGACTCAAATGGATGAAAGGGAAAAATTATTTTTAGATGACATTAGACCGCAGAAGAATTTCAGTTTGAGTCACAGTTATTATATTTATTGAGTACCTGGTGAGAACAAAACAGCAAACAACAGCAACACTGACAATACTGATCGATAACGACGCAAATCAAACTTGCAAGACAGCACAAATATTATACTTGGATAATATGCGCTGTAAAACGTACCGATCAGTTCATTCCGATGGGTAGGCAAAGCACCAAGCGATCGAAGCGAGAGGGGGTGTTAGTGAAAACGCAGAATGGACACAGCGTGAGAAGTTGCAATGATGTATGATGAAACCGGGCGCCGTTCAGAAATAAATATACAGAAAGCATGTATGCGAAAAATGCACCTGGGACCATGCTCGCGTGTGCCAGGTATAGGTAAAAAATGACTGGAGAATGGAAGTGCGGAACATCGAAAGTAGTGATATACCAGATGGGGTGTGATTTGTAATGGTTTAATATTTGGTTTATAAGGATCACCTTTAAGAACCAACAAGAAATGAGAAACGTGAAACCATGCTAACGACAAAAGTAGTGAGCAATGTTGCTGATTTTGAACAATCACCTTATAAAAACCTTGCTGCTGAAAGCAAACATTGTGAGCACTACTGAGTGGACACGAACTAAAGACTCTCGTTTTCACCAATGGTTTTCTATTGTCGGTTTAGCTGTTGCTCTTACTTAGGAAACGCGAGTGGCCATGAAAAGCGTCAACAATAACAGAGCATTTAAACACTGATTGTGTAGCGATGGCGGCGGCTGTTGCTTCCTTTGAAATGCGGCACGTTTCTGTGTAGGCGACGAAACGTCTAGTCTGAATAGGAACGCAAAACATTGCACGGCTAGCATTTAATCGGAGAAAGTGACCGTTGCTAATTCCTTGGGAGTCAATCCACGAAAGCTTGTTCGCTAGCTTGGAGTAGTCACCACGATGGCAGCAAAATGCAAACAATAGTTTCAGTCCAGTTCTTACAACCATTAACCAAGCGTTATTCTTTGTGTTCGCCTGAGGTACATTTAGCAAGCAACCGGAAGACAGAAGTCAAAAATACTCTAACTTGGTCAACGTATGAAACAGTTGAGCGACTCAGGTAGCGCTGCGTCCGAATGTGTAGATGTATGCAACTTTTATACATTCTTGGTTGAAATATGTGACACGATGATTTCTTGAGAACTTCCAATCCTGTTTCTGGATAATCAATCCATAAAACCGATTGCCTACTTACTCTTACCCGACTTCGTCATCGCCCCCCCCCTCTTCGTCACGAAATGTAACTTGAAAGAAAACAAAACGATAGTCACATGGTACGGAGAACCTTCGATTACGTCGTAATAACACAAATTAGGTCTGACGCCAACGAGAACAGGATGTAATCTGTTAAAGACTCAAATGAAAACGCACAGTAAAGAGATGATACAGAAAAGGAATGAAGGTTAGTGTGCCCAGTTGCGACAGATATGTGCAACTGTAGGATAACACGTTGTTTATTTCAATCCAAAAGTTCCGTTGATACATGAATGTAGGTCAAGTGATGTGTGTACACATAAATATAGATTTGTACAAACAAAACGGGGAAAACCGTAATTCATTACCAACAATCTTGATCAGCTTTGGAATATGGTCAGTGAGGTTTGTGTGCTCACGGGCTAGGGTATATGACACGTGACTCCTCGTCTGTCGGCGACCGTTGGATGTCGCTGACCGGTGCGAAATTGAGACACTGACTTTTGTTGCTCTCATCGATCATTAAATTCTAATGACTGAAAGGCTGCGTTTCGGATAAGTTCTGCCTAGTGCCGAAAACCGGGCACAATAGAAAAGTCAGTCTGCACTGACCATTCCATTATCATGTAGTGAGATAGTTTAGTACAGGTTTCAGTGACTGATGCAGTGCTCACTGTTAGGGCGGAGAAAAATGAATAGATCAGATGATGTAGAACGATAACCTAGTACAGAGAAGAAACCGGCTAAAGTGGGGGTTACAAACAAACAAACTGTGTGGTTCATTTGTGCTCCGAGCGACCAACATAAGCACTATTGATGGGAGATTACGTGTCAAACGATTATCGTGCGCGACAACAGATGTCGTCACATGCGTTCGCGGTGTCACTATCGATCGGACGATTTATTCCATATTATTGAGGCCGAAGATAACTTAGCCTCCTCGAAATGATTCCAGCAGAAAAAGGATTCAAGTAAACAAGTAACCCGAATTGTTTCATATCTGACTGACTTGACTAGCACACCTATAAAGATGTGACTCCGATTTATACACGGAACCAAACTTCAACTCCACAATAATCCAGTGATTCCAATTGCTCTACGTCCTTTCAAATATGAAAAAGAATCAGATTAAATTATACCTAGAGCTGGAATTGTGATGAATTAGGAGAATAGCGCAAACAAAGAAACGTACGAACGTTATGGTGCGTGTCATTTAGCTACGGAATGTGACTTTCGGTCCTGCGAATCAGTATTCATCTTTCGATAATCAATGGGCCTCTTTAAC